TTTTGATCCTGGTTTTAGTTTTTTTTGATCTTTGTGGTTTAATTTTTTTTGATCCTGATTTAATTTTTTTTTGATCCCTCACCCAGCTGGTCACAGGGGCCACGGCGGAGCATGCAGCATGCGCATTCCAAGCGCAAACTTATGCAGGCTCCATGCGAATGAGAACCCCAAACCCTAAACCCTAAACCCTAAACCCTAAACCCTAAACCCTAAAACACCCTCTCTCAGGTATCTGCTGAATCGTGGTCAGCTCGATGTCTTTCCCCAGCAGCCGGCTCAGCTCCCTTCGGGGGCCCAGGCACGCCGGACGTCCGAATTTTGAGTTCAGAGTTCAAGGTTTAGGGTTTAGGGCTTAGGGTTTAGGGCTCAGGGTCTTAAGTAATTCTCCCAGAGCTGTGTTGCGAAACAGGCAATCAAAGAACCTCTTCGACAAAGGGGCTTCAGAACCCAAGGTAGCGTCCCATATCCTTGGATAAATCCTAAACCCGAAACCCAAAAGCCAAGGTAACGTTCCATATGTGGTTCCCAATCCAAGGTCGGGTAAGCCTTAGCAAGAGCTTAGGACAAACGCCCACCTACGACGATGTTGGGTGGCCTAAGACGTGAGCTTAGGGTTTTAAGGTTTAGGGTTGAGAGTTGAGTTTTTATGACCGTCTTTCACGAATATGGGGTACCGCAGCCAGATACCCTAGGGTGTATTCAGGGTTTCGGTGAGTGTATATAGATGTCCCTCAGGAAGATCGGTTAGTTATACGCTGTCACTTGCTGTCTGTGGGCAGGACCTAACTCAAACCCTAAACCCGAAACCCTAAACCCTAAACCCTTAACCCCCTAAACCCCCTAAGCCCCCTAAACCCCCTAAACCCCCTAAACCCCCTAAACCCCCTAAACCCTCTACCCAGTTGCGTCGGGCGGCCAGGGACTCCATGATCGTACCTGGCCCCCCAAGCCCGAGCTGTGAAACCGCTACTCCCGCTCACCCTTAGGGGTTTGGGGTTTAGGGTTTAGGGTTTGGGGTGTAGGGTTTAGGGAAGCCCTGGACCCGAAACTCTAAGACCCCCAGACCTTGAAGCTTAAAGCCCAAACCCAGAACCCTAAACCCCCAAACCTTACTTGGAGGTTCATGGGTAGTTATAAGTATGGTTATAAGTTCCCTAATAAAGCTTATAACTATAGTTTCCTTACTTATAACCCCACTTATAACCTCCAAGTACCCCTAAACCCCCAAGCCCTAAGCCCTAACCCCTAAACCCTAAACCCTAAACCCTAAACCTCCAAACCTTAGAGCCTGCGGAGACCTTCATAGCACTTGCAGTCCCTCTCTCGCTTTGGGAGGTCAGCCCGCTGCTTCCGAACAAGCAGGTGGCCTCCGATAGAACTTATGGTAGGGTTTAGGGTTCAGGGTTGAGGGTTTAGGGTTGAGGGTTTAGGGTTTAGGGTTCAGGGTTACCATCACCATCACCATCGCCATCACCATCGCTATCATCAACACCATCGCCATCATCGCGATCATCGCCATCATTATCATAATCCTCATCCTCCTCATTATTATTATCACCATCATCATCATCATCATCATTATCCTCCTTCTCCTCATCATCATCATCATCATCATCATCTTCTTCATCTACATCATCACCGTCATCATCATCATCATCATCATCATCATCATCGCCGTCGTCACCATCGACAGCGTCGTCATCTCCATCATCGCCATCATCCTCCTCATCATCACCATCTTGTTCTTTATCTTCATCATCGTCATCATCATATTCAACAACAGCAGCAGCAAAAACACCAACACCAACATTGACACCGACACCGACACCAACACCAACACCAACACTAACCCTAACACCAACACCAACACCAACACC